AATATTTCGAATAAATAAATTACTACTAAAAAAAGAGAAGAAAATGATTAAGCACTGTTTATTCGGTGTAACTTTTGGTGTAATGGTTGGAGATTAATTTTAGTTTGGTGCAAGAGTTGGTGCAAATTTTGGTTCAGCACCGGAGATGGCCTAAGAGATTAAGAGTAAAGGAATTTCATGGCGTGACAGTATATTATTTGCATCTTTGGTTCTCATTGTTGCTAGGTGGTCGACTGTCAGCAAACCAAGTATCATCATCATATTCTGTGTTTAGAACAGTATTACATTTCCCTTCATTTGGGGTATTTTCTGGTGCCAGTAAGAAATCAAAGGGTTGAGATTTTGCCCCAGTCAAAAATCCATCATGTCTGATCACTGGCATGATCATTGTTTTCCAACTTGACAAAGAAGCTCTGCTGAGTTCTGCTCCAGAGTATTGTACCACATTTTTTTTACTGCCACATTGTACTCCAGCGAAAGCATCAATGGTTGGAGATGAAGGAGATGAGATTGATGAACATGGCTGCAGGATATATGCTCGATACCAAGATTATAAAAAATATATATGGTTAAAGGAACTTGGGAATTTTAATTCTTAGCCTACACTTTTGTTGAGTTTAAGTGATAGTGGACCCCTATTCATTGTCCAATGCATTAAAATGAAACACAACTCCTTGGACAATGAATCACGAGCCCACTGCCACCTAAACTCATGATGTTGTGTACAGTAAGCCTGTAACTAGATATTTTTGATCATTTTACTTCTTCACCGTTGAATAATCATTAGTGATTGATTGTCCAGTCGGTCCGCTCTTAGCACTATTTTATAAAAATTCGCAAGTGTATGAGATCGTTGACAAACAATAGTATAAAATGAGTACAAGTATCATTTCCACGAAGATTTAAACTTTAGCTTCAATGCGTGCTCAAAAACAAATAAACACACATAATGAACATTTGGATGTTAGGCACTATAAATCTACTTATTATTCTACTAAATACTATCTAAATGTGAATGGAGATCAAAACAAAAGAGTTTTGTATGGAAAAACGTGTTAGGAATGTGATTCAACCATTAGAATCCGTCATAATATTCAACTTCTATCTTATAACCTAACATGTGCATAGATTACAATAAATAACCACAATCCTAGAATGTTTTACAAAATCTCCCAAGCAAAGTCAAACTTATTCCTTTGTTATGACCTGAAATATCCCTATTCCGAATTCGAATGCCTAGAAATACATTAAATCACAAGATTATCAATTTAGATTGCATAAAACACAAACAATTGTCTCTAACATATATAGAACCTTATGTTGATTACCATGCTTAGCTAAACTTATTTTGAACCTCTCAAAAATAAAACAAGTCACTTATATATGATCAATCATTCAAACAGGCATTAAAAAGGAGCCTTAATCAACACATATCATTAATTAAAAGAAGTCTTGAATTAAAAAGGAAAACTAAGGTTTACATCATCATCCCAACACTAATACGCTTAGCCTAGCATTCTAATTACACAAAAATAAACAACTAATTGAGTATTCATCACCCAAAAATTGTGATTGCAAAGAGATGATTGAGGATGAATTTCTCCTTCCTTGAATCTTTTCAATGGAGTCTTTAATATGTATTCGACTTTTTCTTTTATATAATCTTCAGTCCCAAGCCATTTATTCTTTCTTTGTTGTGTATTTTATTGTTTCTCTTCCTAGTTCCCTTTTGCAAGTTGTAAGCTCCAAAATACTAATTTTTGCCTCTTTTCTTATGTTGAATTCGAGGGCCAAATTATATTCCAAAAAGAGGTTGAAGTAAAAAAGGGAACAAAATATTTATGTCATTTTGTACCATGCAATCGCATAGGATAGCAAAGCATAAAATATTTGTCCTCTATTTTGGTTTATATCATTTTTATTAGAGGTTGAATCGATCATCAGAAGATGTATATATTTGTATACTTCTTGAAACCGATAAGTATAACCTAAAGCATGAGATGGCAGCTCTAATCGTTCCTCGGCCCTCCATATTGGACTAAAGGAAGCTCTTCAATTCCCCTCTCCTCTCTCTATAGTTATTGGAAGACAAGACGAGTATTATGGAGATGTAACCCTTACTCAACCTTTTTTATACACACTTCTTCCACCTACCTTCTCATAAAAAGATGGTAGTAGATGATAATGAATATTAATTTTGATCGAGAAAAAGCGTTACACGTGGTATCTTTCTCTTTATTTGGTTACTAGAAGATTAATTTGTCATGATCTACAATTTGGACATTAGTTCTTGATGACAATCTCGTCTCACATATTTCAACTAATGCCCATGTCGTATTTTCTCTTTGTTCGGTTAGTAGAGAATTAATTCTTCGTGATCTATAATATGGACGTTAGTTCTTGATGATATATTTCAACTGTCTCATCAATTTACATTAAATCACAACACCATTGAATATATATAAAATTTAAACTTTGTGAATTTTCAAGATCTCCATTTCAAATCATCAAAAGAATTAATTAATGTGAAACATACATTGATCTATTGATTTGAATCTTGAAGCTTAAACTTGCAATCTCTTTAATCTTGATTGCTTCAATCTTTATACTTGATTCTTGATTAATTGTTTTTAATTGTGGGTTTTGAATCTTCCTATTTAATATGATTTCTTTTGCTTTCTTGCGTTAATGGGATATCACAAAGAATGAGAATTGCATATCAATTGGGGACCATAACCCTATTTATATTTCTATATGTAATAGGTTCAGTTAGAAATTCGTATTAAAATTTCAGCCAAAGTTAGTAATTAATTTTAACCACATATTTCACGAGATTCACATCTTTTCTATCAC